TATCCAACCCGTTTCTGTTTCACAAAAACTTCCCATAAATATTCCACCTTCATGTTAAGTCCAAACCAAACATCATCTCCCTTATTTGTTTTGTTAATACAGTTATTTGTTGGTTGTTATGGAAATTATTGTTCATACCGAACAATAACATCCATCGAACTATCAGACATATTGGAGACTGTCATCCATAATGGAGACATAGAAATGGAAAAATAACCAAACAACAAAAAACGACCAAGAAAAATGCAAACACTCCATACATGCCAAGAATTCAACATTCATATAATAATGAAGATGTTTGTTTGGCTTGTCATACGTGGCTGTATGGATGTGCCTTGCCAAGAACATGAAAACCAAAAATATGGAGTATAGTACACCCATGGAAGAAAAACAGAAACAAAGCTAAAACGAAGATAAAAACTTAACAAAACATGCAGCTTTTGTACGCTTACCATTTTGTATAAAAAAAAACACATACATACTACTAACACATGGATATTTAGTACATGCATAGTATAGTTTATGGATTTTCGGTTGTCGTTTCAGTGCATATCCTATTGGCTTGCATATCGTATTGGGATTGTTGCGTGTTGCTATATTAGAGATTACATTTTCTGTTACAAATGTAGAGAAAAATGTCGGAAACTGATTTTAAGAATATGAAAAATCCAATCCAAAAATAAAATAAAAATATTACATCCCGAGACCTCATTTTAGAAAGTCTATCCGAAATAGGGTTTAATTGTTTCTAAGAAGATATTTCAATGTCCTTCCTTATTACCGAATTGTTATGATTTCGATTTATAAATCTTAAAATGGTTTTTGAATGCTTTTCGAGATAGGAACCTGAATTTTTAAGAACATATTTTAAATGAATTCTGAGCTACGAGCTATTCGTTTATCTCAAATATTTTGGATAGGTAGTCCTACGGTAAATGGATGTATTTTTAAACAATATTTCCGGATTTTTACAATCTTTATTTACATTATTATACTATATGTTTATATTATATAGGATATTACAATACATATTTATTCATATAATTATTTCTATTATTATTATTATTATTTTGAAAGTATGTATGTTATTTATGTCGTTTTAAGAGTTTGTTTGAAAATTATGTTTTTAAAGGGCAAAACAAATATTATTTAATGTTTTTTTTTTTTTTTTTTTTTGTTGCAAAATGGTCAGGCTTATCCCTTTATTGTTGTTTTTATAAAAACAACGTTTGTTTATTAGTGGAGAACGATGGTAATGTTTACCAGGGGGTAAGGCAGGGAATACCTAGGTTTCGGAAAGAGCCACCAATCCTCATCAGTTCCCTTGTTTTTGTCTGGTTTTTTTTTTTTTTTTTTTTTTTTTTTTTTGTTAATCCAAGAATTTTTTTAAATAAAAATTGTAAGAACCCCGAAAATATAGTTTAGAAATTCATCCATTTGCTGTAGGACCATCTACCTAAACTATTTAAGATAAATGAATAGTTTGTAGCTAAGAATTCATTCGGAATAAATTTGCAGGTTTTTTAGATTAATTTCCCAAATGCCTTAAAAATCATTTTTTGATCTTTCGATTTGGAGGCAAAAACATGTCAGACCAAAAAAATTCTGAAAGGGGCCAAGATTAGGTACTCATTCGAAAAAAAGAGGATTTGAAACATAACATAAAAAACCCAAGACCCAAAATCAGGAAATCGGAAAAATTTGGAAAATTGACGAACTTCTTAGCTGATCGTCCTTTTCAAAGGTTAAATTCCAAAGGTAAATTCATTTCGAAAATATGTTATGATCGTCCTTTTCAAAGTTTGCCAACATAAATTCCTTTCGGAAATATGTTAAAAAAATAATAATCAGCAGTTTTTTCTCGAAACATTTCTAAAATCATTTGCTTTACAGTGTTCTTCCGAAAAATTTCTGAAAAAAGGCTACCATTTTTAAAAATACTCTAAAAGCTCGAGCATCTCTCTTACTTTTTTTTTTTTTTTTTTTTCAAAAAATCAGTACATCTGTTTCAGGAAAGAAAAAAACAATACGACTTAAGAAGACATTTTAGAAAAATTAAAATTTAAAAATTAATTAAAATTAAGTCGATTTACAGTCTTTTTCCACAGAACTATTTCCAAAATTTTGACGGAACTTCTTCGCTAAGCATTCCATAAAGACCCGCAGTACCACCAAAAAATTCGTGAAAACTATTCTATAGATATTCTTCGAAAATTCTTATTTCAAGATCCCATATCAAAATTGGTCTTTAATGCTCTTGTAACAGAAAGCCTTTAAAGTCTCATCTCTAAGGACCCACGACTATATAAAGTGTATTCTCAAAAAATATTCCCTAAAGACTCACGACTTTCAAAACCCACAATGGCATCTTTAAGCAGATATCCTTCGAATAATATTTATCCCTAAGATAGGGTAGACCTTCGGTAGGGTAGACGTTCTTTGAGAAATGTTTTTATGCACCCACCACGAAATAAAACATATCCTTCAAAAATATTCCTTAAATATCCCATATGTTCCCGTCACGACTTCAAGACCCTGGCTTCTATTTTCGATTTTCGTTGAAAGATTGCAATTAAAGTGTCATAATACTGACTAAGAAGTTCTATTCCAACATCTCATCTCAGAAATTTCTTCAAAAAATGTTCCACGACTTCAAGGCCCTGGCTTCTATTTTCGATTTTCGTTGAAAGATTGCAATTAAAGTGTCATAATACTGACTAAGAAGTTCTATTCCAACATCTCATCTCAGAAATTTCTTCAAAAAATGTTCCATAAAGACCGAAAGTGCCATCAAAGGTTTAATCGAAAACTTCCCTTAAAAAGCCATCCGTCGAAAATTTTTATTTAAATACCCCTTCTCAAAAGTAATTGAACAAATTTGGTTCAATGATCAACCATTGTATAAAAAAGGTCCTTTGAAAAATATTCCCTCAAGACCGCCAACTTGTAAGCGGATATCCTATTCCACCTCAAAAGTCAACGAAAGATTTATTTTGCAGATCCCACCCCAGAAAGTCTTCAAAAGTATAACGATTCACTATTGCCTTTGGAAAATGTTCAATAACGAACCGGGATTCCAGGTTTTTAAAAAATCAAATGCCATAATTTCAAAAAGTCCTTCAAAAATATTATTTTAAGATCTGCCAAAGATCGTATAATTGAAATCCCTCAAAAAATATTTCTTAAAGACCCACGATCTAGAAAATTCAGGATTATATCTTAAATATCCTTAAAGTACAGGAGTCCTTTCAAAATATTATTTAGATACTCAAGTTTGGCCTCATAGAGTCTATCCATATTCTCACATAGGAAATAATGCATATACGATTTTAAATCAAATATCTAACCTCATAATTCATTTGGCTATAATCCAAACCCAGAATAGAGAATCATTGCAATACAAAATAAACCAAAAAATTACCACCACTATACGTTTTTATACTCTCAACCACATCGCTACAGATTTATACGCATATGTCATTAAATATGGGGAAAACGTGCCTCATCGCCCCAGCCTCATCGTGCCAGTTTTAGACTCAGTAAAGGATCATCCAATTTTGTGCAATTCGGAATATTTTTATCAGTGCTAATTAAGGTGTGAAAATGGATAGTATCGGCCCACTCAGTCAAGTACCACCTCCACAAAAGGTCAACATTTTAAATAAATATAACTCTTATAAAACGCGAAATAAAAGTCCTGTGGTTGCTAGATCTGGACCACTCCTTCTAGTACCTCCCCCAAAATTTTTGAATAAGGCTCATAAAACCTCGGTACATCCCAATATATCTATACAATACAATAAGCCCATCCCATATCTTCTGAAGATGGGATATATCGGTCCACTCCTTCTGATACATCCCCTGCAAAATGTTAATATTTCGAATAACCAAAACGATCATAAAATACGAAATAAGTCCCAATATAATACAAATATTGGGACTTGTAAAATTTGGGATCTTGTGTAAAGATGGGATGTATCGGCCCACTCTTTATGGTACCACCCCCACAAAAGGTTAAAAAGTTGATTAAAAAACGACGATTAAATAAACATTATAATGTCGAAAAAAGAAACTCAAATGAATCTCTTTTATTTAGCTTCATAAACTTCGGAAAACACGATACACTGCAACCCTGCAGCCCCACACCCTTTCAAAACTTATGACTTCTTTTTACTCAAAATGTGGTAGTCCAGAATACCTCGAACTCATGATTGGCTTACTTCTTAGGAATTAAACATTTGCATTAAAAAACTATTGCATTATTTTATGTTTGTTTATCCAACTTTAAAACCGACCAAATATTTGAAGTAACGAACATTTTCTGACCAATTTCTTGGGGTATATACTAAATCGACAACTCTGCACTGTGCGTGATAGTGTGTTCGTATTATTATTTTCAATAGGGATAAATTTTGTGTGTAACTCTCTTTCGCAGGCACTTGTAAATATTTTTCCTGGTTGTAACATTCTCAAGGATATGACGACATTTGTTATTGCTGTTGTTGTTCTTATGGTGTTCATGTATGGAATCTGTTAGATTTGTTGCATGTACTCGAAAGAGTAAATGTATGCAAACATGTACCTTATAGTACACATTTGTTGTCGTTTGGGAAATAAAACGTAGTTTTAAATTGTTTTTTTTTTTTAATCTAAAGCATTTTTGTGCGTGACTAATAGCTAACGAACGTTTTGTGATTGACTTGAATAGTTTAGGAATTATGAAAATATTGTAAATGAAAAATTAACTTAGTGGGAAAATCTGAAAAGAGGATAATTTTTGAATTCTTTCAAATTGGTGGAAATATTACTTTTATGTCTTTGAAAAAGCGCATTCTCTTAAATTTGGACAACTATCCAAAAAAGCTATATTTAATTCCAAATCATTTTTAGATTTGTGAATCTGTGACCTTAAATGTGTTTTAAGTCTTTGCCATGAATTTTTCGCAAAAACAATAAACTCGTTCCAATTGCTGCTATTTCTTATTTTTGGCTGAACTTACCTTAATAAAATTAACAACAAGTCTGGTGCACTCGCTTGTAATGCCACACGTAATGGCGATGAACGTCCACAGGACTCAATTGGAATATCAATGAATCTGTAAATAAAGAAAAGAGAGGAAGGTTGTAATTCCAATTCGTATACAAATGTTATTTTCGACAATGAGGTACTAATGACATAGTATTACACTGATGCAGTTGAAAATTAAGTCCAAGGCAAATTAATAAAAATATCTGAGATCGAAAGGTACCAAAAATGTGGGCTATCTTTAGCGATGAACTGATATTTCTAATAATAATACAGACTTTTCAAATTTTTAACTGATATTTCAAAACCAATTTTAATACAACCTTTTGAAAATTGAAAGCTGTACACATAAAATAATAATCTTGATTTCAAGAGATAGACAGACAGACATACTTAAACAAGACAATTCTATTTATCCCTATTTTTTATTTAAACGATCAAGTTTAGATAAGTTTAATATATATTTGGAATATACAGAGTGAGATAAAAAAACTGCAACAAAGTCAAACGCCATAATTTTTACATTTTATTTTTTTAAATTTTATTGAATGAAAGAAAAAATGGAAATATACTTTTGGCACGAATTATGCCCTTCAAACAGCCAATGAAACCGTCACACGCTGCCCGAATGTTGCTCTGCGGTATTTTGGCCCATTCCCGGCGAAGCACTTGCTTGAGGTGATCCAAGACTTTGGTATTTCTTAGTGTCAAACTTGCTTTCCAAAATACTCCAGACACAATAGTCCAACGGATTGGTATCCGGAGATTTAAGTGGAGAAATGTCCCCGCGTCATTTGTAACAATTCTTGGGTGGCGCATGCTGAGTGCGATGGTACTGAGTCCTGTTGGAATGTCCAAGATCTGCGGCCAAAATGTTTGTGTGTGCAAGGCTTTAATACACCCTTCAAAATATTTTCGCGATAATATTCGACATTTATTCTGATGGCACGGTCGATTAATACGAGCGGAGAGCCTCCAATCGGCCATTACGACGGCCCACACCATTACAATGGCCTGCGCTTGAGTTCTGGTGGCCAACCGAAGGGGCACATTTTCATCTGATCTCTTTGTTTACAAACTGCTGGACAACGAATGTTTTCTTATCGGAGAAAACCAAATACGGCAGTTCACCACTTTCGAAGCAACTCTTTAGCTCTTTTGAGTCTATTTTCTTTCTGTTGCGGTGTAAGTTCTTGCACTTTTTGAAATTTCAATGGCTTTACCATTTTTCATCATTCCATCATTTTTCAATATTTGCCGAATGGAATATTGCGATATGTTCAGCTCACGAGTCATGCGACGCGGGCTTCGATTTAGTCGCTTCTTTATTTTTCGAACCATTTCTGTTGATGTTGCTGTTTTCTTCCGTCCACTTCCTTGACGTCGGGCTACGCTACCAGTATCACGGTAACGAGCAATGGTACAAGACACAAAAGATTTTTTCACATTTAAATGCTGGAGTGCTCTAAGGATAGCCACTTGTGGTTTTGCAGCCAAACATGAATAGATCACACTATCACGCTTGAATTCCATCACGAATAACTTTTTTATCTGGAAAATTCTCACCAAAATGCTTTATTTCGCTTGTAAACAATATAATGAGCTGTCACTGGAATAATTTTAACAGCTGTCGGGCGAGTGGCTTAGAAATGACAGCAGTCTGAAGTTGGTTGCAGTTTTTTTCATCTGACCCTGTATATGCCTAATTTTTATTTGAACGATCAGGTTTCGATTAAGTTTAAAGAAGTTGAATCTATATCTGGAATATACTTTATAGTAAACCCGACTGTATTGAGCGGCCATATTTCCACTTTCAAATGGAATTATCCTAGGTACTTAGTAAAAATTTCCAACAAAAACATACTCTCCCACAACCACCTCCTGTCAAAACATTACCAAATGCCATTAAACGATTTACAAAGATTTCACTCAATTCTGTCTGCATTAAAACACAACCGAACTTTCTGTTATCCTCCCCTGGATAATTCCGAACAACAATCTGTCTTAAGTTAATGTATTCCATCTGCATCACCCCTCATGAGCACCAGAAAAAAAAAACAAAGATTTCACATCGTGTTTATTGTTTAAACAAAATTTCTTTAGAAATAAAATCTTGCAATTGAATTAAGGCATTCTGCTGCAGAGATAAGGCAACGCAAAAACATATTTAACATCTTTCCATCACACCCTCGATCATATATTACACGCTACTTTGCACAACGAGACGAACTAACTGCTATTTGCGAATATAAATTGTTCTCAGAAAATACAATAAATTCCAAAAAAAAAAAAAAAAAACTTATTCCCTGGAGGCTTGATGCCAGGCAAACCAAAGAAACGCAACGAAACGAAACTGTAAAATGTAATTTAAATTCTATTAAGAATTTGTCTACAAATCATTTGATAAGTTGGCAGGCATTTGTGAGAGGAGTGAGTTTGTGTGTGTGTGTGTGTGTTCATGAGTGCTCATACACGCCCACACTCAGAATACAGAGAACAATAGCCAAGTAATAATAGCCCTTCTATCCCATTCTCTTCACATTTCAAATTGATACAGAAGAAAAATATTCCAGATTCATGTTTGTGGGAACCGAGACTCCGTCAATTCCCCAATGCAATTTCAGTCATATTTTTGTGAAGGGGGAAGAGGGGGAAAATGTCTGAACATTAAAACCTATTTTTTTTTTTTTTTGTACACAATTTACAAATACAGTTACTTTAAAATATGCCACTTAAAGTACTTTTAATGTTAACAAGTAGCTCTTGGAAATCTTCTTTGTCTTCTCGTTTGTCTGCGGTAGGTTTGTTAATATTCTCTAAGTGATGGAGACAGTTTAACAAGACGAAAATATAAGAACAAGGATTTTTTGGGACTTTTTTTATACTTAAATAAGATCTAAATGTTTCTGAGGCTTTTTTCAAAGAATCTAATTCAAATCATTTTTGAATAGGAGTAGAGATAGTCCCTCCTTTAAATAAGATAGAGTAGAGTGTTTACAGATGAGCTTATGGAAGTAACTCTGGACGACTCTGGACAGACAAGTTTCTCCGGAAGAGATAAAAGGAGACTCTGTAGAGTCTGAAACAAACTTTTAGTCATTAGTCGCTTGGTACTGTCTATATGGACGTGGCGAAAAGAGCCTTTTTATACGAGTCGGAGTTTGTCTTTATATAACAGCCGACACGGAAGCCAGGTTCTTACTCTCTTGTCAAAAAGAAGGCAGATAGTCTCTCTTTCTAGACAAACTGAAGTCAGTCGTCTCTCACTAGATAAATTGAAGCCAGGTTGTCACTACAAAAATAAGCCAGATAGTCTCTCTCTTTGGACAAACCGAAGTCTGATAGTCTCTCTCCAGAAAAACTTAAGCCAAATAGTCTCTCCCTAGACAAAATGAAGTCTGATAGTCTCCCTCCAGAAAAAACCGAAGCCAAATAGTCTCTCCCTAGACAAACTGAAGCCAGATCGTCTTCCCGAACGAAGTTGAGCCTTCACAGACGAGCGAAAGGGAGTCTTTACAGACGAATTAAATTGATTCTTAACAGTCGAGCGAAAGAGAGTCTAAGTTGTGAAACCGAACCGAGAGACGAGTTGAAGGCTGGCTCTAGAGACGAGCTTTAAAGACGAACTGAAGGCTGGCTCTAGAGACAAGCTAAAGGCTGATAGTCTCTCTCCAGAAAAACTTAAGCCAAATAGTCTCTCCCTAGACAAACCGAAGTCTGATAGTCTCTCTCCAGAAAAACTTAAGCCAAATAGTCTCTCCCTAGACAAACTGAAGCCAGATCGTCTTCCCGAACGAAGTTGAGCCTTTACAGACGAGCGAAAGGGAGTCTTTACAGACGAATTAAATTGATTCTTTACAGTCGAGCGAAAGAGAGTCTAAGTTGTGAAACCGATCCGAGAGACGAGCTGAAGGCTGGCTCTTGAGACGAGCTTTAAAGACGAACTGAAGGCTAGCTCTAGAGACGAGCTAAAGGCTGGCTCTAGAGACGAGCTTTAAAGACGAATTAAAATCTGGCTCTAAAGACAAGCTGAATCTCTTGAGGTAAGCTAAGAGAGTCTCGGTAGATACCTGCGAGTATCAATGGACTAGCTGACAGAGGCTGTTTAAAACTTTTTACATATAATTTGCACCAATAAATTTGTAATTCATAATATTCAAGTTTCTGAATCTGAATTGTAATTCGAAAATTATTTAAAATTGTAATTTGAATTATTTGTTTTAAATTCAAATTATTCCATTTGTAATTCGAATTCTATTATTTGTAATTCGATTTTTTATACCCTACACCACAAGGTGGTCAGGGTATTATGTCTTTGTGCATTTATTTGTAACAGGCTAAAGGAAACGAGATAGACCCTTAGTTCCTTTTGATGATCTGCAAAGAATCGCATTCTGAGTCGATTTATGCATGTCCGTCCGTCCGTCTGTCCATGTATTTTTGTAAAGAAAGTGCAGTTCGCACAAATCATTTGTTTGGCCCAAGGACAAACCCTATAGAAATTGGAGATAATCGGTCAAAATTTAGATATAGCTCCCATATATATCTTCGTCCGATTTACCGTTGATTGTGCACCAAACGTCTAATATTTGCCCAAATTGAATGAAATTTGGCACTTACGACCGAATTGAATCTAGAAGCTAGTATGTCAAATTTGGTGAAGATCGGTTCAGATATAGATATAGCTCCCATATATACTATTCATCGGATTTGTTATATTTGTTACCCACAGCCGTAATATGCACTCCGTAACAACGATATTCAGGGCACAAATAAGCAGAATATCTTAAAGGATGCAGGTTACCAGCTGACTTTTGTCAAGCCCTTAAATTTCTTGTTTCTATTTTTTAAATTAAACTTTTTTGCTTAACTCACACAAGGATTCTCTTTAAACTTTTTCTTACTCCTTGACACATTGTAAGCCTCTTCATGGAATTAAAGTTAATGTCATTTTTTTCTGCGTTTGGTGTCATTTCTTATTACAAGACAAGTAAAAATGTCAAAGATGACAGTATGAACAAGAAAAATTCTGTAGATGTGGTTGTCAAGGAAGCAGCAGCGACAGCACACAAGTGTTTATTAAATTATATGTGTGTGTGTGTGAGAGCGTGTATGTATGCATGTTCAAATGAATGTGTGTTTTTGTATCAACAACGCAACAAAAAATCTGAACCATAAAACAACAACCACCACATAACAAACAAAAAATACACAAAGAATATAACAACAATGTATTTTGTTGTTACCTTACATTTATTTAATTAAAATGAATGCCTTTATATGTTAGCTAACTGGAAGTTGGTAAGTTTTTGGAGACATCGAGAACGGCATGTCGAAAAAAAAGAGACAGCATTTTTTCTTTTTGGCAAGAAACGCCAAACACGCAATTTTTCTCTTGACATAAATACCATTAACATAATTATGTTACTGGAATGAATAATAAAGGAGACTGGTGTCCTGAAATGTCCTTTAATGTGGGCGCTCATTAAATTAAGAACACAAAGTGTTGGCTTTATACACTACATTTTGGAGGTATTTAAGGAGCTTTAGTTTAAACTTCTCGCATCAACACTTTAAATATGTATTTATTCGTCAATAGAAGCAGATACAAAGATCTCCTTAAACGTCTACAGCAAAAAAATAGCACTGCCTCATTTAAATTATTTATCAATTCGTTTTAAATTAATATATAACTCATACGCACATTCCATTTTTATAAGCAAATGTAAATTAACTTTACTTTTAAATTCTTTAAAAAGAACCCAATAAATTATATGAATTTAATTTCTACCAAAAAAAAAAAAAATCTTTTTTCTAATAAACTAGCTGTCTCCACAAGCCTCAAAGATGGTCAAAATCTGACCAAAAAAGAAACAACAAAAGACATACTTACTTGACCATACGTTCCTGTTCGTAACGTGCTATCCAACAGGGCAGTGTCATATCAAGACTTGTTGCATGATGTAAAAAATAGACCATGGCCCTGGTGTTTTCATCCTTTGTTGGCATATTGCCGGCAGGCAGGCAGGCGGTAAAGTCACACATGGGCAGACAAGTAGTCCAACATAATGGGGGATAAAGTCAATAAGAATAAGAAGAAAATATGTTAGTACCGAAATAACTCGCACCTATTTATCATTCATATTAATAAAAAAACAAGAACAACACATATATCCATAAAAATATTAGTAAGAAATAAGGTTTCCCATAGCGTATAACTATTATTTATTAAATTATACCCTCCACAAATGATGGAGGGTATATAAACTACATACAGGATGAGATAAAAACCAGTAAAGAAAGTCTTAAAGTCGGGCGGGGCCGACTTTATGATACCCTACACCACTTTGCTAATTAAGTAGAACTCCACATAACAATTAAAAATTTTATGGAAGAATTCAATCATACACGCTATGATTATAATTATAATTTAAAGTTCAAAGGACTAAATATGCCGAAGCATTTGTATCTTTTAAATTCGGAAATCAGATAAAAATATATTTGGGAGCTATATCCAAATCGGAACCGATCTCGATAAAATTTGGCAAAGATATTTCTGAGCTGTATTTGATATATTTCCCTGAATATCGTTGTTACGAAGTGCATATTACGGTTGTGGGTAACAAATATAACAAATCGGATGAATAATATATATGGAAGCTATAGCTATATCTGAACCGATCTTCACCAAATTTGACATACTAGCTTCGGTCGTAAGTGCCAAATTCCATCCCATTTGGACAAATATTAGACGTTTGGTGCACAATAAAAGGTAAATCGGACGAAGTTATATATGGGAGCTATATCCAAATCTGAACCGACCTCGATAAAATTTAGCAAATGTATTTCTGAGCTGTATTTGATATATTTCCCCAAATATTGTTGTTGCATAGTGCATATTACGGCGGCGGTGGACAAAAATAACAAATCGGATGAACAATATATATGGGAGCTATAGCTATATCTGAACCGATTTCGATCAAATTTGCCATACATATTTTCAAGCCTAATTTGGGTGTATAAGCAAAATTCCATACAATTCGGCCTGATATTACAGGTTTGGTGCACAATAAAATGTAAATCGGACGAAGATATATGTGGGAGCTATATCTAAATTTCGACCGATTATCTCCAATTTCAATAGGGTTCGTCCTTGCGCCAAACACAAGATCTTTGCAAAATTTCATCTGGATCGGGCAATAAATGCGACCTGTACTTTGTTTACAAAAATACATGGACAGACTGACGGACATGCATAAATCGATTCAGAATGTGATTCTATGCAGATCATCAAAGGGAACTATGGGTCTATCTCGTTTTTTTATGCCTGTTACAAACAAATGCACAAAGACATAATACCCTGACCAACTTGTGGTGTAGGGTATAAAAACTGAAACAAAATCAAACGCCATAATTTTTACATTTTAGTGAATGAAAGCAAAAAATGTCGGAAATAGCATCAAATTTTAGAATAAATTTAGATTTGTTCGAATTGGTCACCTTTGGCACGAATTATGCCTGAATGTTGCTCTGCAGTATTGTGGCCCATTCCCGGCGAAGCGCTTGCTTGATGTGATCGACACTTTTTAGTGCCAACCTTGCTTTCCAAAATACTTCAGACAGAATAGTCCAACGAATTGGTATCCGGAGATTTTGGTGGTCATTGTGCGCTGGAAGTGAAGCGAGGAACCTCATCATGTAACCGTTCTTGGGTGGCGCCTGCTGAGTGCGATGGTGCTGAGTCCTGTCAGAATGTCCAAAGTCTGCGACCAAAATGTTTGCGTGCCCAAGTCTTTAATACACGCTCCAGAATATTTTGGCGATAATATTCGGCATTTATTTTGATGCTACGGTCGAATAATACGAGCTTAGAGCGACCATTAGCTGTTATGGCGGCCCAAACCATCGTCATGGCTGGCGCTTGAGTTCTGATGGCCAACCGAAGGTGCACATTTTCAGCTGACCTCTTTGGCAAGTAAACGCGATCAATTTGTTTGTTTACAAACTGCTGGACATCGAATGTTTTCTCATCGGAGAAAACCAAATTCGGCAGTTTACCACTTTCGGCCAAGCGGAGCTACTCTTTTGAGTCTATTTTCTTTCTATTGTGGTGTATTTTCGGAATTTCAATGGCTCTTTTTTCAATATTTGCCGCATGGAATATTGCGATCTGTTCAGATCACGAACCATTTTTCGGTCACTGCGACGTGGGTTTTGATCAAGTCGATTCTTTACTTTTCGAACCATTTCTGCTAGTGTTGCTGTTTTCTTCCGTCCATTTCTTTGATATAGGATACAAATAAATTCGATTTTAGTCAATTTTGAGCATCTCAATATTTCGGCCAATATTACATGAATGGTGGAAAATGAACCTCGTTTTGAATAAATCTCATAAAATATGGAATATCCCCACTATAGAAGAGATATGCCGGCCCAATATGTACTTCGCACACAAATGGCCAACACGAATAGAATGAACAAAGTCAAATTTTGTGTACCGGATGGAGTCTGATGTTGGGTCACACATGTTTATTAACATCTGGTACATCCGGAATAAACGGTTCAAATTACTAATTCGTTAGAAAACCTTATTAAGCGAAGTGTACATCTGCATTTCAACTTGGGACATTAAAATACTTGTATAAAATTAAATATGTCTACACGGAAAATATAGACTCTCTCTCCCAAAATTTCGGATACAACCTAAAGAAAAACTTTGTCAAATTTGTTGAAATCGGTTCAAATATAAATACAGCTCCCATATATATATTTCACTAAAATTGTAAGATAAAAAATGGAGAAACCATGCAAAGTTTGCAAAAATAAATGAAAATTTGGACCAAGCGAGTTTCGACTACAATAAAGTCTACCAGGTGGAAAAAAGGCAAAATCCATTCAGAATTATAGCTCCTATATACGATTCATTTTATTTTATACTTCAGCCTTCTCAAATATTAATTATACAAGAGAAAACAAATGAAAACATTACGTTTTGCCGGCATGAATTTTGAATACACTCCACCATTTGATAAAAATAATATTTTAGAATATAAATATCGAGTCTAAAACACCAAATTTGAAACAATTCCGATGAAAAATTTTGCTAAGATCATCAAAACATCGAATATTGGTTTGTATCGTTATGTGGAAACCGTGGACAAATAGGGACTATGTGATGAACTTCAAGTCCGAAAAAATGTGACATAAGTTGTAGAAATATCGAATGTGTGAAGGTACCGTTATATGGTCGCTATAGCAAAACTTATACCTATATTTACAATGTCCTGCCACCAGATGTTCAACCCATTGCCAATTCCTTATTTCGTGAAAAAATGGGCGCTTTATTTATGGGGGCACTACACGAAAACGAAGACCTAAATTAAGAATGTTTTTTCACCATATGTAGATCAATTTCTAATAGGAAATTTGGAACAATTTCCTAGATAAATGTGGATAAATTCATAAAAATGGCGAATATTGGGAGGTACCTTTATATGGGGGCAATACGAAAACGTTGACCACATAAACTTTTCCGCAATCGCAACAAATAATTTGGGGTTTTGGCCATTAATAACTGGTTTTCATTTCAATCATTTATGTAAACACACAAACATTCAACAATTGAAAAAAAGAAACAAATAACATCATTTAAATTCCCCATTCCTCCCACCCCTTTCTTGGGTTTCATTTTCTTTAACTACTTCTTGTTAATACTTTTTAACATTGATATAAGCCGCTTTACCTGATCTCGAAAATCGCTACGCCATCCGGCAATGAAATGTGGTGCATTGGGACCAAACAAGGCACCCAAGAATATTCGTTCGAATGTCTTCTCGCATGCATAAATTTCCTCTGAAAAAGAATGAAATCACGAAAAAGAGTAATGGAGAATGAAAGAAGAAAAAAACATTTACAAAATATAATAATGAAATAAGGATAAGTGTAAATTAATGGCAATGTTTGCTTAATCCTTCTTTCTTTCTTTCTTTGCGGAACATATGAAACCATATGTTGTGTGGTACAAAGAGCTCAGAAACAATGCCAGTGTAATAAATTGTGTTAATTTCAGAGGTGGTGCAACATTGCGTATGATGATTGTTAATTCATTGGGGGTATAGTGTGGCGTATACGTGCGAATTGCAGGAGTAACATGTATACGCTTGGGAGTGTGTGTGAGTGTATTCTTCATGATTTAAATAAATTATGTTACAAATAAAGCAAATTTGCTACTTAGCTATTTTAGTATTCATAAGAGGGAAGAGTTGAATAATCGTACAAATGATTTAATGGAAAGGCAAAGTAATGAATGCCCTGCAATAAAATATTTAAGATTATAAAATTTCTTAAACATAATCTGAAATTCTTATGAAATTGTTTCTTTTTTATTACATTTCATAATTTTTATTAAATAAAATTTCAAAATTTAATATCCATTCAGTGGGGCATAGCATGAAAATCCGATGATTATCAAAATATTCACTGATGCATAACAAATTTAGACCTTTCTAAAAGCAGTGCTTCCATATTCGCTTCAATGATTTGCGTTGCGTTGGCTTTCAAGTGCCATATTGAAGAACTGTAAAACACAGCAAAACTACACCAACCGAGCTGCAGTTGTTTGCTTGGATTGCTGCTACACTGCAGAGGCATAAACATGGAAAACATTTAAGTTTCTACTTAAACTTGTTGCACGAAGTGCGAAACAATGGTAATGCCAGAACGACAAATTTTGCAACTGCAACAACATTGTTGTTAATATGACGATTTGCAAAATGAAATTACGACGTGGCATTACCAACTAAAAATACTAAAGATTGAAATTAAATATTTGGGATGAAAACTTTAAAAAGTCTTCAGTATTCATAAGAAATATTAGAAATTTTCATAAAATAGAATAAACTAATATGACTTATTTTCAAATAAAATATCTGAAAATCTCATTCGGCCTTAATAATTTTGGGCATTTAATTCTACACCCTCCCCCCCTCCGTTTCAGGCGGGCACTTCTAATTGCAACATAATTTATATTCAACCATTAAACACACCAAGCAAATAGACACACACAGACGTAACGCAACGCCCAGATGTTAGTAAACATACACACACACACAAAACGATAATCATGTTTAAATAGTTTATTTTCTGCCATGGCGATTCATATAATTTGTATTAAAACGAATACAAACAAAACGATAATATGTTTACACCTTGCATCCACGTCCACAACCCGCCCAATGCTCTCGCTCTCCCCCTCTCTCACTCTCTATCTACGCTAAGCTACTCTAGTCATACTTACCCAGCAAGACCACAACAACCGCAGAATCTCGAACACCCCAATCCCAACAAGTACGCAAGGCAATATACAAGATGTTATGGTATTTGCCCATTAAACAGACCTGTAAATTGGAAGAAGAAGAAAAAGAAAAGTCAAATAGGTTTTTGGTTGCAAAATTAGAACATAGATTATGGTGTTGGCTAAGTCGAATAAATACCAGAGTTTGGGAGCAATTTATTTCGTTGGTGTGCGTGTGTTAATTGGATTAATTGGAAAATATAAATTTTGATTATGGAAATGTTGAGAAATTTGTGGGTAAAAGTATAATTAGGAAGAAAATTGTGCGATGGAAAATTGAGAAAATTGGTAAGGATGCTGTGTAAAAAAAGTTGAAACCTAAGCCTTATATTGAAGAAAATATTAAGGATGATTTTCTACCCCTGATGCACAAGGCACTCGTGTGGAAAAAGCATAATTCATACTTTTATGTGATACCATAATTGGGCTTATCAAGTAGTAAAAAAGTATAAGTCCTAGAAAATTTACTAAAACAAACTAACTATGGAATTTTTTTTTCAGTTGGTACCAAGATTTACATCCTTAAAAATAATTTTACAAATAAAATAAATTTTCGATTGCAGACATTTTTTTCTTCAAAGTCTTTAGGAATGTATTTAATTTTTAAAATACTTATAGAGTCGTACATTTGTGGATTTATTTTTGCATATTAATCTCATAAAAAGTCTATAGAAGTCCATTAAGAAAAGATCTTTAGTAACCCTACAGAAATCCTTCGAATATATTTAGCTTAGGGAGGATACTTGAACAATCTTATTTTAGAGGCTTTTAAAAGTTTCTTAAGAGATTTTGTTTTTTAGGGTCATAAAAATTCTCTATAAAGTGTCGATGTTTCTTATGATTTATATATTTTAAAGACAAAAGTCATCTATCTACAGTTTTGAGGTTTTTATGAAGAATACAAATGTGTCGAGAATATGAATATTTTTCAAGAATTAGTTGAGCTATAAAAGGAAAGTTTTAAAATTGAGCAATATTCTTGAAGCTTTTATGAATCCATTTCGAAAAATATTCGAACAATAATCTAGATTTACACTTTGAACACTATCTGAGATGTAATTGTAAATTTTAAATGGAAACTTTTCGAGAAGAGCTACAGATTTAATCGCATATTTTTAAGAGACTTTAACAGAACAGCCCGAGCTGTAATGTTTGGATGATTGCTTGAGAACAATCTTGGATTTTAAAAACCCGAGAGCATCCTGAGCCCCGTAACCATCAAAAAAATTCTGAGATGCAGGTCTGCCTGAGATATAAGCATGTATTTTTAAGAAAACTTTTCGAAAGCAGTCTAATTTTTAGTGGTGGACTTTAAAAAATCTTTTCGAAGTCAGCCTGAGCTGCAATGAGTTACAATCGTTTTTTCAACAACTATTTTCTTTTCACCTCCTAAGCGTATATTTTAAGAAACATTCTTCCCGGGACAACCCGAGGCAATCGACATTTTCATTATCGACTTTTTTGTTTGAAGACTATTTGAGTTTGCTTGAGAGATCGACACTTTGGTATTTTTTAGTGCCAACCTTGCTTTCCAAAATACTCCAGACACAACAGTCCAACGGATTGGTATCCGGTGAGTTTGTTGGCGCGAGCTGAATGCGATGGTGCTGAGTCCTGTTGGAATGTCCAAGGTCTGCGGCCAAAATGTTTGCGTGCCCAAGGCTTTTATACACCCTCCAGAATATATTCGCGATAATATTCGGCATTTATTCTGATGCCACGGTCCATTTATAAGCGCGAAAAGCGTCCATCGGCTGTTATGGCGGCCCATACCATCACCATGGCCGGTGTTTGAGTTCTGGTGGCCAACCGAAGGTTCACATTTACATCTGACCTCTTTGGCAAGTAAACACGATCATTTTGTTTGTTTTCTCATCGGAAAAACCAAATTCGCCAGTTCACCACTTTCGGCCACGCGAAGCAAATTGCAATGGCTTTACCCCGAGTTAATTTTTCAACATTTGCCGAATGGAATATTGCGATATGTTCAGATCACGAGCCATTTTTCGGCCACCTCGAAGGGGGTTTCAATTAAGCCGCGGTAACGAACGATGGTACGAGACACAAAAGATTTATTCACATTTAAGTGCTGAAGTGCTCTACCGATAGCCTCTTGTGGTGTTCCATCAAAATATAAAGAAATCACACTATCACGCTTGAATTCCATCACGAGTAACTTTTTTTCTGGAAAATTCTCACCAAGATGTTTATCTGTACGCTTGTTAACAATATAATGAGCTATCACTGGAATAATTTTAACAGCTGTCGGACGAGTGACTTAGAAATTACAGCAGTCTGAAATTGTTTGCAGTTTTGTTCATCTGACGTGTGACTGTTTCATTGACCGTTTGAAGGCCATAATTCGTGCCAAATGTGACCAATTCGAACAAATCTAAAGTTATTCTAAAATTTTATACTATATCGGACATTTTATGGCATTTTACTTTATTGCAGTTTTTTTATCTCACCCTGTATTATTATAAAAAATTAGTTTGAGTTCAGCGATGGTTCAGCGATGGTACCTGCTTGCATACGGTCAAAATTTTCAAAGGAAATAATTTTTCTCATAGAAAAGAAAAGGAACAACGTTGACTAAATCTGAGATCAGAATAGGTAGTAGTAAAATAATGACATGAGGACCCAGTCCAATACTCATTAAATTTTGGCATACTAAACACACAAATCGCAACTGATAAAAGCTGTGATCTATTGCCGCAAAATTTTGGACCGTAGAGATCAAAAACAAGTCAAATTCTATCGATAAAAACATGTAAATCATTGAATTCTTCTTAGTTTGTATAAAAAACACCAAAAATCTACAATTACATGCTTGAAAATTGACGTGGCGATTTGTTTCACGAACATAAATTGTCTACTAACTACTACCCATAATTCCCGCAGTTTTGTTTTAAATTTACACCACCGTTGTAATTTTACTAAAGTTGTACCCGTCAAGGATGGATTATGTCGCACTATTGTGCACCTCCTCCAAAAGAGTCAATATCTTCAAAATATCATATGAATTCAATTTATCTCAAACTTGACACATCCCAAACCCAATCTCTAACGCCTCTTTTAGCAAACTGAAAATGTGACTAAACTTCTGTCAGTATAATTTCCACAAATTTTAACAAGAATTGTAAGTTAAGGCTATATTAAACTTAGACAATATAATAGATTAAGTAACGTTTGTGGAGCACAATTTCGTGTTAGAAAAATTGGGTTTCTGATAATCACTAACACACAAGTGATATAATGAAATGAAAAAAGTAATAATGAAGACGGTAGTATCCTTACATCTCCATTTGCGTCCTTTTGCTCGCGATGATAACGGACAGCAGAGAGTACAGCAATACGGGCCACCTCCTCGGTGTGCATATTTTGACCTTCAAAAAAAAAAAAAAAAAAAAAAACAACCATTATTATTTTTAATCATGTCAAAATTTCACATATTAAATTTACCATCACTACAGCCACCAATGATGGCATTCAAATGGTCCAAAACATCTCGTCGGGATGAACGATCCTGAAGGCCATTGCGGCTGATTTTATCCAAAGTATCCGTGTAGAAACATTCAAATATAAAATCCATGCTAGAATTTTCCGAGTAACATCAATTTGACCATCAGCCGTACTGCAAGACTTGATATCACCACCAAAACGTACTACGTTTTACAATTCTTTTTCTTTGCAAAACTAAGGTATTGCTTTTCCTTTTTTCTTTCGAATTTCTGTTATGCCGCAACTAATTCAAAAACATAATAATGAAACCCTACAAGAAATTTTTACGTATTTCAGCTAATGGTACTTCCATTACCAACAACAATTCAGTGACAAGTAGTTATGTTGTTGTTGTTTTTGTCATTGCTTATTGTATCACCATCACCATTACGTCTACCATTGAACTTTGCCAAAATACTTTTCAATTATTTAACATTGCTTTTATATATTTCTAGGGAATTTATTCACCAAAAATTACTAGTAAACACTTGACCTAACCTAACACTCCTTGTCGAATAAAATACAAACACATACGCACACAGCGACTCAAATAATAACTGTTCCCACTTCAATTCTCTGGGTTATGTATATAAATACAACAACAATTCCTTGATTTTCTTTTGGTGAAAATGCCGGTTAGTGTAACGAATTTTAAGAAATCTCAAACAAAACTGAATACTGTACCCAGTTGATTGGGTTGGAAAAGCATATAGTTAGGCGCTCTCGGCACTCAATGCATAGGCTCTCTTTTAAAAGAGAAATTGGTTATTGTTTGAGAAGAGATTCACAAACTACCGGCTTTATTCGTTATCAACACGTTGTATTGTAATGAGTACAGGGTGTATTCAAAATGTTGAATGAAAAATGAGGATATAATCGGGTTGGGACTGAATGAATTGTTCATTGCTAAAGAATGCCTACCGATCCCAAAATTGACTTCACATTTATAAATCCATCTCCTTATCTAACAGTTATACACTCATACTGATCCGAATACAAAAATGCACAATTCTAGATAATTTCCTACATTATATTCCAAATTTAGTACAATTCAGTACTTTTTGTACATTAATTGTACTTATGTCCTTAAGCCCTTTGACCCCCAGTGAACCCCGCTTTCAAAATTTCAGAATTTTAGCTCTAACCTTTCAGCTAACACAAATGGTACCCTTTTTAGTACCATTGAGAGCTTTCCGTTACCCTCTAGCACAATTTATCAATACCCAGACTTATCATGCAACTCCAATACAAGATTATCCCTTATCCAATCTTTCGAAATTCTAGCTTCATCCATTCAGTGTGAGTCGATTAATGCATGTCAGTCCATCTGTCCATGCATTTTTGTGAAAAAAAATTATTATCTGATTTAAATGAAATTTTACAAACAATATTTTTTGGTCCTAGGACGAACCCTATTGAACTTGGTTAGATTAGGTTCAAGATAAGATATAGCTCCCATATATAATTTTAATCGATTTCGGGTTAATTGTGCACCAAATGGCCAATATCAGCCCAAATGACCTGAATTTTGGCACATCCGACCGAATTCAGTCTAGAAGAAAGTACATTAAATTTAAGGAAAATCGGTTCAGATATAGCCATATTTCCCATATTTAAGTTTCAATTTATTTGGCCTTAAGGTCCCTGACATCATATCTGATACCATATATCTTATAAAGTTCGGAAATACTTTTCCCAAATTTTATCGAGATCGGCTCAGATTTGGATATAGCTCCCATATATATCCTTAATCCGCTTTCAGGTTTATTGTGCAAATAATGACTAATATCATGGCATCACGAATGTTTTGATTTGGTGGACCTCGACTCCGATATATTTTTTCAAAGTCAAATTTAGTGAGAATCGATTCAGAATTAGATATGACTCCCATATATTAGTTCCCTCTGAAACCAAATTATAACTGCTCTAAAGACAAAGGTTGATAGATGGTATTATATACTTCAAATAAATTCCCAAAATAAATCCTTTTGTTACGGGAGCTCTACTAAATACGCATAGTTGGTGTAGGCCCGCCCGACTTTTGACTTTTCCTTCCTGGTTATAAATGCACCTTTTACCATACAAATTGCTTATAGTATTTCCATTTGCAACACCCTGTTAATAAATACACCGACTCTCTTTTATCAAACAATATAACACTAATATGGCAACACTGCGCACAACCATGCGCTCTTTTCGCAATCTGTTGAAAAGGGGTGGTGGTGGTGGGCAAATACAATGAGCATGGCAATGTATAGAATTTGTATAGCACAAGTAGAGGGTGGTAAACAATAAAATAAAACAAAATTGTTGAAATGTTTTTGTTTCGATTCATGTTCACAAACAAATTATTTCTACAACTCAAATAAATAAATTTTCACAAATGAATTCAGTGGTAATGTTCATTAAATTCGGATACACAGAATGTAGATGGTTTAAATCGATATATAATTGTAAACAAATTAAACCATACAGAAATATTTGTACTGAAAAACTCCACCGCACTAAACAACTTCACAATGGGTTTATTAATTCTTTCGTTTTTAGCTCTGTTTTCATTCAAAACACTTGCATTTTTTATTAAAAAAGTATTGGCACACGCAGCTTTTTAGTATTGTTGTTGATTTCGATTCAATTTTACGATAAATTATTTGTTTTGCCAATTAAATTCCACTGAATCATTTCCAACAGCGACCGTTTGTTTATTTCATTGAAGTAACACTGAACTGAACTCTGACAAGTGCAGTTAATTGTTGTTGTTGCTGTCATACTCAGCTGACGTAGAGAGTCTTGTTTATTCATTCGCATACTCTCTTAAGTACAATTTTATCTTATCTCACAGAGTATGTTCAGTGTGTGCCATATTTGAGAGTTGTCGAGAGTACAGTGGACATAAGGAGAGAAAAAAATCGATAGACCGCGAATGTTCTTTTTATAATAAAGGGTGTGTATCTGTAGTTTTTTTTTTATTTTATTATTTATTTATTTATTTTTTTTTTTTTTGTTAGAATTGAGAAAAATGTGGAAGATTAGTTATGTAATAGTGAAATATCTAGAAGAGTTGTCTTTAGTAAAATGTTCAAGCTTATTGATAGAAAAACATTTCATGAGCCTAATATGGATAATGAATATCCATAATAGTTTTTACTGCAAAATACGGGAGCAGTGTGTAGTGTTCTAAAATTAATAGACTTTGATTTCAATTCTGCTTGATTCTTCAAATAAAAATAATAAAAATTTTTTCTACTTATTTGTCGACTTCTAGTGACAAAAAATAACATGCTATTTTGGGTTATATGCCCTTACAAAAATTAGGGATTAGTAGATTTATTTGTATGTAACCATGACTGCAAGAATTGGTTAGAAATCCCATTATTTGGTATTGCTATTTTTTTTTTCATTGCACTATGATCCAGAATTCGTGTTTACCACCAATTTCTTAAATATATATGGGAGCCCTTACAAAGTATATTCACACTAAAATAGCCAAAAAAATTAAAAAAGTATCGGTCGGTTTTGCCGACAGATGTATACCCTCAGCCAATGTTCGATTATTTAAAAATATTTTGACTTCTTTTATGATTATTCAAACTTTTAATCCTCAATGGTGTGCCACGTCGAAATGGAATCGGATGTTAATTTCGCATTTTATGAGCTTAATGGATATTCAACATTTCGAGCTTTTGTGGGGGAGGTACCATGTACTCCATCTTAATACCGACGTACTCCATCTTTATACCAGATCTTGGTTTCATAAAAATATTGAGATATTTGAAACTTGAAGACAATCGGACTCTTACATCACATTTTATAAGAGTTATAATTATTCAAAATTTTGAACATTTGTTGGGGAGGTACTGATATAGTGGACCGATATTGTCCATCTTCGCCCCAGACCTAGCACTGACAAAAATATTAGGATTTGCAAAGTTGGAGCAAAATTGGTTTTTTGCTTCCCTATTCTGTGCAGAAAAAATATATATTTTTGCCTTTTGTGGGGGAGGTACAAGAAGGAGAAGACCGATATATCTCATCTTCACAACGGATCTTGGGTTCATAAATATATATTGGGTGAAATTTGAAGACAATCGGTCTCTTACATCACATTTTATAAGAGTTGTACCTAATTATAATGTTGACCCATTGTGGGGGAGGTACTTGATAGAGTGGACCGATATTGTCCATCTTCGCCCCAGACCTAGCATTGTCGCAAAAATATTACGATGTACCAAGTTTGGACCAAATCGAATACTCCCTTCGAGAGTTATTGTGCGCACCAGCCAGCCAGACAGACGGACGGACGGACGTCGCTAGATCGCCTCTAAATGTTCTGAAACGGATTTGGACCAAAGAGACCTAGGATCTAAAACCGTTATTTCGACTAGGCACGTTTTGAACGTATCAAATGATATATACCCTCTCTGGCCAAGTGGCTGAGGTTGTAATTAGAAGTTGCTTATAAATTGCTTTGTGATAAAGGTGTTGGTCAAATCGGTCAAACAGTTATGTTTCATGGCATATAAAATAACAGTTTAGAAAGTATCTATCGGTTAACTGACGGACTTATACCCTAAGTATGTGAACAATTTTAAGGCGATCAAAATTTATGATTTTTATTATTTGTGAAAAGCAGGGATACACTAAATGAATGAAGGATTAAATTCTATCTCACATCCTGTCCCCGATTATTTTCATTAGAAACCTTTTATCCTTTTTAACCCCAACGGTATTTCAAGACATATTGCGATTCATGTTTGAAAATGAAACAACGCTTCCTTTTAAACAATATTTTCCTTTTTTACCACATGATTCAGACAAGTCTCATTATTTTCGCAATGCAAGCTGAATTTGTTTTCAGTTGATTTATGCGTTTATTAACAGCCGCACCTTCGTAAACATGCTTAATCATGGCGATGTTCGCATAAAAGCTTAAAGCAATGTATGGAAGACTAAAATAAATCGTCATAACATTAGTCTACACATTTAAAAACATTAGCAATGATTCCGAGAATGTACACGTGTAAGGATAATTCATCTGGATGTGAGAGAAAAAAAAAACAACAGCATCACAAGTTCATGTGTCACAATAATGTGAACAAATATGCGTATGTACAGTATATAACATGGTATAATACAAATTTATTAAGTCTGATATTCTTGTGATCAAATAGGATTAGTTAACATATTCTTATTATAGATTCATGAAGGGGTTGCAGGGTCCTCATAAAGGGGTCACTACATACAGATTTTTGACTCGAAAGTCTGGGTTCAAGACCCGCATCCACTTACTCGATATAGGCAATATATGTATCGTTCGAAAGCTTATGAAAAATCCTATCCAACAAGTGATCACATGATCAACGAATACCGGCTACTTACAACGACTGTTAAATTTAGAAAACTTTAGTTCGCGAAGCCGGTTGAATATACTCAGAAGAGAATATCTCAGGGCCCAGAAAAAGGTATTAGCAAACAATGTAGCATTTTGGAAAGGTAAGAGTGTCACCTATAAATTGGAATCAATTTTTTTGATAAAAATTTCGGGTCTAAAAAGTCTATAATTTGACTATAACTTCCCAACCGCTTTAAATAACATCATCAAGTGACCTAGTTGGACAGTTATTTTCATAAGCGATACCTATATTGTCTCTATTGGGTAAGTGG